CAATAATCAAAGGCTGTTTAAAGAAAATGGGCAGCTTCAATGGGATTAGAATGCATTAGTTCTGGGTCAAGGTCATGTGGACTGCAATCACGTGACTAGAACTGAGCATTCGATCGATCGATCAGTCAGTCACTGAACTATTTGATCAGTCTATCCGTTGTTCCATACCAAATGAACAACTAACTATAGACGTTCATAATAAGACGATCGAACTGGTCTGAATGGGATACAATTTGCCATGGCCCCTGATTCACTCTCAAAAAGATAATCTGACGAAAAATCACTTTCAAAATCTGCATAAAATTCTGTCTGGGGAAAAATTTGTATTCTCCCCCGTGCTTTATGTTATATGCGAAGAAAAATTAGGGTCCTCAGTAAGCACAGTACACTTGTCACAAATCGCACCCCGCACCGGGTAACAACTTGCGATTGTCGATTTTTTTTATTCATTTGTAGGCAGCCGCCGACAATCAAAAGTTTGACACCGACAGCATAAGTGATCAAACGTGTGTGTGTGTGTGTGTGTGTGTGTGTGTGTGTGTGTGTGTGATAAACGGAACGTGCTCGTGGAGAGGGGAAACAGTGAACAGAAAGGAGGATAAATGAATTGCGAAATGCGTACTTTTCGGTCACTTTGTTTCTTCGCGGTTATATGCCCTGGTCAAGGTTTGTTCTGTCCCACGCAAGCGATCAATAAAAGTCAACGAATGGTTCACATCTAGCAAAATAGTTGCCTTTGTTCGGGTCCCAGTAACTGCAAAAAAGGTGCTAATGCTTGAATTGCCTCAGCGACAACAATAATACTAAAATAATAACGCTTAATTCTTATCTCATTGGGTTTGGTTTGGCCAAAATTTTATCCAGTGACAGAAAATATCAAACACTAATTAAGGTCTCCCTCTATGGACCTGCTGTGTTGGTAATCCCTGCTGTTTCAAACTATAAATGGGAAATGCTGCATCTAAAACCCGGTGTTGTACGCCCCTGTGCAACTATTTTGACTAGAATGGGAAGGGAATCCCAAAGTGGTAGAAGTTGAAGAAGATGGAGTAATTTAAACAGGCAACATTTATTTAGAACTATAGGTTGGATATGTTTAAAAGTTATACAGGGGGAAGAATAGTCATTTTAGCATGGGGAAGACATTTGGAAATGAGGAAGTGGTGAAATTGTGCTGTTCGCGGTTTATCGGCACCGTTTTGGCATGTAATGAAAAGTTAAACCGCATGGTTCATGGTGTGAATTTCGAGTGTGTACATTCCGATAGTACAGGCTATCTACGATAACTGAACGCCAATTACCTCAACGTTCACGGGCATGGTATTGAGCAAAAGGGATGTGGAATATGAAGATCTGTAGGCCTGTAGGAAAGGGTTGACTCGTGCAACAGCACTGCTCGACATATCGGGACAGGGGACCATTCCTTTGTTCAGTGTAACTGGATAAAGTGCTTCTGGTAAAACAACCTTGTGCTTTTTTTAGTCATATAGGACTCGTGCACACAAGGCGAAAATAGAATGTTCTTCCGAGTCCGAAACGCATTTAACAGACCATGCATATAGGCTTTTATCAGACTATGTGCCACAATAGGTTGATGGGATCGATAATTTGACCGCCTCGCGTGCCAGTGTCGGTCGACTATCAAAACGAGTTTGCCGCAAGGCTAGCTCCTACCCCACCAAAAGGTGCAGATCAACAGTGGACAACCATCTGAAACAAAACACAGGTTGTACAGTTTTGGTCTAACCTGCCGAGTAGCAACACAGTATATTTAGTCAATCTCCTACTTTGTCGCATCCTTCGGGAATTCGAACATAGCAGGGTAAACAGTAGTAGATGCTAATAACTAGTATAAAAATCGTTTGACGGTTTTTTAACAAAATAACCCGGATCGATAAAAAGTAGGTTAATCCCGTTAGTTGTTCCCAATTTGTATAATTCTAAACTGTTTGTTTATAACGGAATTGAGATCTACTGTCCTGCTTATCTTATGTATCGAAGAAATTTAAACCTTTTATGATTCCCTTATCTTAATATTGGCACATCGCGTCCGGTAGTTAGCCCTTTTTCAATTTGAAGTATCTAGATATCCCGAAACTAGTCACCTTTCTTCAGGGGAACTTTTTCTGACCCAGTGATCGCATATTGATTCCAGATATTCTTCCATTCCGTTGCAATATTAGGCTAACCACAGAATTGATTATATGACATCCGTCATAATGTACAACTGCTTTAGCTATAATAATGAATCAGTGTTGACCCATTCAAAGAAAACAAGTGTCTAAACAGTCCCACAGAGCACAATTTCAAATAGAACAAGGAGTGGCGAAGAAGCTCGTTTTCAGTGATTCGTAGTCATGCCAAATACATCACAATAAATTGTAGTATTCGGAATAGGAATCGAAATCGAATAGCGCGAACTCGGTATCGGACTGAAAACCCACTGAATAGCGCAAAGTCAGGTAGA